CGACAAGTTTATTGCAATTCATTTACACCTGCCACATTTGAGTTGTGCTTGGCAACTGAACAAATTAAAGCAAAATAATTGCCAGCAAATTGAATTAAAGCTAAACCACACACGCACACACACACACACACACACAAAAACACATAGACTCTCTAATTAGAGAACCACTTACAACTGCACTAATTATGTATTGAAAATAATTATTATTTAAAGTTTGTACTCATGTATTTGCCAAGTAAATTATAATTATATATTCCGTACATTTTAACATCCACACAATTGAAAACGAATTCGTGTAATAAAATCGCCGTGAGCCGTCAGGGCTGTAACATTCGAAATTTGACCAAAAAATGACCCGAAGGATAAATCACAAAATTCAACATCAGAACCATATCGCGGCTGTTAGAGTTTTATTATGTGCTCTACCCATTGAAACTGGACAAAGGGCATATTTGTTTCGTAACAGACTTATTAAGCAGCAGCTTCATACCAATTTCAAGCCTCTAGAGCTTTTAGGCTCTACGACAGAGGGGCTTGGCTTTACAGACTCCGTCTTTAAACACTAATTCAGAATGTATAGCATACTTAATGGGGTGCTAGATGTCTTCTCTAATGCGTGACAAAAATAAAAATGAAATAAGTAAGTAAGTCTGCTCTAGTCGGCAGTACCCTGAACGCAGCTGACATTACAAACTCTGGGCTTCTTCTTTCCTTAAATGTATGCGGTCTTTATTGTGACAACTTTTTGGCAGAATAAAGGTATCTTTTTTGAACCGAAGACGTTTCCCACAATCCCACAAAACCATGATACTTCTTATTAACCATTTTTATTAGATCAGAGTGCATTTTTCTAAGATCTTCTCTTGAATTATTACATCAACTCTTATCCTATAATAATAAAACGAAAGGATCTTCGATCCAAAAAGTATCACTTTTAAGTGATCTATTCAGGGGTATTCAAATGTGCTTTGAAGGTCCTTATCTATAACAGGCTTTCTTCTTCCCTCAACCCGAGATTATTGAAAAACATCTTAAATAACTTCGGTGTTTAGCGCTCGATATTAATGAAATTTTAACAACATAAATATGGCATCGAAATTTGAGTAAATACTAATGCCCAAGAAAAACTTAAAAAAAAGGCACATATAAACTTTGCGTAGAACTGGAGAGGGTCTTACAAAAGTGAAAGAACCTTTTATGAAAATCGATTTTTATCGATATCGCGGAATTGGTGCTCCGAGTTGTCGATGATTTGGTGCTACTTTTGGAAAAGCCAGCGAAAAATTAGCTCTTATAGTCCCTGAGCCTGATGTATTCATACATACGACCAGACGGAAATGGCTCGATCGATTACTCTTGAAGTTTATTTTACAAAAATTTTAACTTTTATAATGTACGCTAGCAAATAGAGTATGCTCAGAGCGGAATGCTCGACCACGACTTACCCTGTGCTTAGGTTTATGGCGCCCTCGCGCCCTTACTTAATGAAATTCAAATATTGGGTTGTAATCTGCTTAATTTACAGCTCTTTCGTGTCCTAATGGTTTTTAAAAATGAATGAAAGCAGCACACACGAATTGAATAATAGCTATCATAGTGCTTTAAGCTGTGTTCTCTTGTGCGATGAATGTAAGTCTCTGCATGGGATTCAGTATTGGCGCTAAAAAAGGACTGAAAAGGAAAGGAAAAGCAAAGTCGCCAACTTTTACCATTTCTGACCAATCAACAAGCTGGAGCTACGAGCTGTCATTCATATTATGTGGCATACAACTGAAACAAATGAGGTTGATTTATTGGGATTTCGCTTTTCCACAACCCTTTCAATCGGACTTGATTTCTTTTGTTTTTGTCCTTTTTATGCTTGGCCACAACAATATGCGTAACCACAATGCACTGCAGATTGAGGCAGGCTGGTGTGGCAAGGGGAATAGGAGGCAGGGCAACCAACAGCAAAACAACCAGTGCCACCATGCGATTAAAGAGAGAAGTCAAAAGCAATCATAATCATACTTATATTCATACTCATACTCATACTCATACTCATACTCATACTCATACTCATACTCATACTCATACTCATACTCATACTCATACTCATACTCATACTCATACTCGTACTCGTACTCGTACTCGTACTCGTACTCGTACTCGTACTCGTACTCGTACTCGTACTCGTACTCGTACTCGTACTCGTACTCATACTCATACTCATACTCATACTCATACTCATACTCATACTCATACTCATACTCATACTCATACTCATACTCATACTCAGCGCTCTCACTTGTTTTTCGCTGTGTTGCATCTGCTTATCCACATGCGCCTCCAACTCTTTAAGGTATTTATATATTCAAATTGTGTTTGCGCCAATTTTATTATTGCATTTCCTTTTTTTTCGTACTGTTTTTGCAACTTTGTGCTGGGAAAGTTTTCGCTCGACTTTTTCTCATTTTGTTTTTTGTCATTTTTGTTTATTGTCTTGGCCGCTTTTTGCATGGCATTTGCATTCGGGGCAGCAACTTTTGACCAGCAGCTGAAACTTTAATTACTTGTACTAGCAGCAGACAGCCCGTCAACCAGACAACCAGCCAGTCAGTGGGTCAGGGGGTCGCGGCGCCATTGGGGGAACAATTGTGTCAGTAGTCGGCGAAAAACTATAGCATACTTAGGAGCGCTCGCCCAATTTCCCCCTTGAGCCGTTGTCGCTGCCAACTTCAAAGCACTCCGTTGGTGATGCTGCTGCGATTACTTGTTGTGGTGGTTGGACTCTGCACTATGGGGAGCATGCACAACTTTTCTGTCAAAAACACATTCTCTAAAAGTGGCTAAGATAAAAAACTTTTGACATAAAACATTCACAAACCTGCAATGTTACATACTCTTAACATTAAGCAATCCTGTTAAGCTAACAGCGGTTGGACACAGCTTCATACAAACGCCCGTGTTCGAATTGGATGCTTTTTTATACCCTTGTTAAGGGTATTCCAATTTTATAATGAAATGTCTAACACACAGCAGGAGACATCTCTGACTCCCTTAAGTATATATATTCAAGATCAGTATCCACAGCCGAGGCGATATAGTCCTGCCCGTCTATCTGTTTCTCTGCAAACTAGTCTCTTAGATTTAAGGCCATCGTCCTAGAACTATGCATCTACGGCAGGCAGTACATATCATATAGCTGCCATTGTAACGATCCGCCGAAAAGTTGATTCTGATATGGAAACCTACTTTTATATTAAGATAACTAACGTTTACTAAGTAGTTCCTATAGCTGTAATAGGAAAATGCAGCACTGTAGAGCTGTACTATTCTTACATATCTGCACTAAGGAAATGTCTACAAGAGTTTTAATTCTCGTTTTTTACTGATTTACAAAACCATACCTAAGACTATCTACTCTCTCTGGCTCATATACATCACAGCTTCATCCCAAACAAACAATATTATTTGTAATAAAATACTCTGTTACTCTGCTTTCAATCATTTTTTTTTTTCAAAACAGACCCTTATCTTTGAGTTATCATCGTTTTTCCCTGAAAAACCGGTTGAATTCTCCATAGTGCTGTTGTTGGGCCTTTGTTCAATGGTCTGTCTATCTGCTTTAAACCCAAACACATCAGACACACACTCTCACACACACACACACACACATACACACACACACCCGCGCACTTACACACCAACGCTAAGCCGTTTATTTTTGTATCTTTTTTTTTTTTTTATTTTATTTTTAGCTGTCCAGTGGTCGCGTGTCCTCATCCTGAAGGATTCAAAGCAGGTGTAAATTGTGCATGGGGCAACTAAATTTTAAACTCTACCCTCAGACAACATCGCTACAAAGCACTGCAGCTGGAAATGTGACCTAATTTGGCTGATGCGCAAAATAAAAGTTGAAATTGTGAAGCGATAACTTGGTACAATATTAAGTCCTGTACTTATTAGGAAGGAATAATAAAGTTTTTATAATGGAAGCACGTTCAAGCAAAACGTAAAGCAACCAATTTCGTAATCTTCAGTAGATGTCCTGCCACTACACATGCACACTTTATGCAGCGGCTGTGCTTCTTCTTCCCTTTATGTTGTAGGGAATAGCAGCAGGTATTCATAGTGTGATATATATACGAGAGCCCGCTTACCATGGTTGATGTAACTAACTACATATATATACTTTAAGAACCATATCTTCAAATCGATATTTATCGAAATTATGCAAATGGGATGAGATATCGAAGAAAAATCACATGTAAGGTGCTACTATATATATTTCCAATTTCAATCTGTGGCCTTTGTAGTTTCCAAGATCGATTCGTTCACACAGATTGACAGACGAGTTGTCGAAATGGACTGAGCTCATCGTCTTCCCATATATTCTTTATGGGATTGCAAATGCTTCCTTCAGATTGTGACATACATTTTCGCAAAAACATGCTCTTTTAATCTTTTAATCAAATGCCATAAATCTTATCACGCGGACATGTTCCTAAGATGCTTTTGAACATATCTTGACTAAACACAACAAGGCTGAGTTCCATTAATAGTTACTAATTATAATTGGAGCAAAGTCTCATCAAAATCGGACTATATCTTAGACTATACCGTCATACTGCTTCTGCAGAGACAATTGAAAATATATGGCATATCTGATGCAAGAGTAAAGTGAGAATAAAGTGAACACATTTCTTAATTATTTATAAAAATACACTCCAAGATCGGAGTATCGCGAACATCTGTAGCGCTTCGCTATAATTCGAGCCTCTTTCACATCGATCTCAAAGATCTGTATAAATATATGTGTTTCACACTTTTATGCGATTAGCCTCCGACTCATTTTCAAAACATTTTTGGAATCTAAGAATCGAGGCAACAATTTATTACTGGATAGAAATAGTTTATAGGGAGAAAGCCTTTGCTGGATGAATGGATGCGGAAATAAATTGACACACTCGTATTGATGTACATTAAAAACGAAATATGTATATTTTGCTTCTTCTATAAACTGAATACAGGCATTTAGCTGAAAACTTTGGTATGCTCATATCAATATTTATTTGTTGTTCTTCATTTGTTAACTTACATCATATTGTATCTTTAATAGAGCTCTCGCCTTTCGCAACTCCAGCAGCAGTTCGATTATTGTGTTCATTTCAAGTTCAATTTCAATATCAATTTCAATTTGAATGCATAAACACACTTATGTAAATTATATATTTGCTTAATCGTTTAAATATTTCATAGTTTTATTTCCTGCATTAAGTAAACATTTAGTTGTTATCCTTTGTATTTCATATGTCTAGCTAAATACTCAATTAAACAACATTGCTTCGGTATTATTTGTATTAATTAATTATTATAATTTTGCTTTTCTCAATTGTCTTTGTTTTCTGTTTTGTTTTTTTTTTTTTTAGAATTTGCTAGGCTTACACGTCTAAAGTTAAATTTTGATTGACAAAAATTCATTCACGCCAACAACAATAAATATAGGTAAATATTTATTATAATACTTTAAATCAATTATAACAATATATAATACTTAAATTTCAGACAATCTTTGTATGGGGTGCGTTTTACTCGTTTGGGTGGGCTGGGGGATGGCTTTTTGTTTGGTTTTGGGCGAAAGTTGGGGGCGTCTTGAACAAACACATTGTCATCAAAATTATGCATCATATTCTTCAACATCCTCTCTTACTACTCTGAGCATTTACATGCAGCACCAAGAAGTATGCAATGGACTCTTATCATGGCGTTTTCTACAGTGGCGTCCGAAATGTTATGACCGCTTCAACTGTTTTTGTATATATCTTCTTTTTTTTTGTTTGTGGCCTAGCATATCGAGGCTTGACTATATTGTTATTCAGCTACACTCACGACTTTGTTTCTTAAATTTGTATCAACAATTCGTTGAAAATATTTCAAATATTTGTAGCACACTTTAAGGTTAACTTTTAAAATAAGCAAACTTGTTTCCGTGTAAACTCAATAGTTGGCAATGCGTTGAAAGCTTCAAATAATTTTAAATTATGACATCGAATAATATTATACAACTCGGATTCAGATTGCCTTCAAATTTTGGAAATTTATCAACATAATCAATGGGTATCTGAATTCCGCAATTCGGCTAGATTAACAATTTCTATTTGAAAATTTCTGTTTTGTTTTGAATGCTATCAAAATTACAAATTTTTCGCACTTTTCTCCCTTCGAAATGTATGTGATTATGCTGATACTCAAACCTGTTCGCATGAATATGAAAAGCCTTTTGCTATCAAACCTAATTCCGGATTCGGCACTTGGCTGAACTTAAATTTGTACAGAAAACTAGCAGACCGCAAAGGAAATCAAATTATCAAGAAATTTTAAAGTATTATTATGTAGCTCGAAAATATATAAACACGATCGCTAGAAAGTACAATGATCCTCCAATCAAATTACAATCCTAAAGAGAGTTCATTTAATGTGATTTATCCTATATATATAAAAAAAATAGATATATGTATATTAATATATTTGTAACTCAATTGCGAATGTGGGAAATCGTATCGAATAAGTCACTAAATGGGGCTGCCAAACATATTAACGATTGCTGAATTCAAACTCTGAATAGTTTAGGCATCCAATGGCCACTCATACATATGTATACAAAGTTACATACTTATATATAGCATAACATACACATACAAACTAATACTATATTTAATTGTGTGTAGTGTACTCTTAGGTTTCTATATTAAAAAAATACATTTGCTCAATCATCATGCACTTCATGACCTGTTCTAAGCGCATCTGTGAAATGGCTGTCAATGCGAACACCCAACTATATATAGCATGAATACCTTCTATATATATATATATATATATATATATGTATATATATATGTATGTATATATATTATACTAAAGTATGCTGCGCTCTCTGTCTGCGCTATTCGAATGCGTATGCCATATGTTGCCTAAGATATACCTCTAATAATACTCAAAAACGCAAGTCTAAACATTGTCCTGTCCCACATTGATGCGAACTGTTTTCGCTTTCTATATATACACACATTGGGTATACATACAATGAATATCTCTATATATGTTAATATCTATATGCTGATGCGCTTTCACACGGCCGTCTCATGATCAGTCTCGTCGATCCGCCCCAGGCGCCAGGAATTGGGATCGCCGGCTGCAATGAGAAGTACACAAGATGTTCGTTTTTGTTTTCGTTTCGAGATCGAGATCGAGTTCGAGTTTCAAGTTTAACAATAGCGTTTGCATGAGTAACAAAGGGCGGTTATTAATAAAACATTGAACCGGGCCGCACACCAAAACACAACGCCACACACACCCACGGCACAGACGCAGGCGGGGTGTGTATGACTTGTGGGTATGTCAGCGTATTATGGTGGAGTGGGTGGGGGGGTGGAGGGGGGGGAGGGAGGTGCGGGTTGATATTAATGAATTAAATCTTTCTTTCAAAATCAAACCGAGCATGCAAGCTACGAGAAAGTATTTTCAATAACTCTACGCACGCACACAGCCAAACGTTTCGCTCACACAGACAGGGCACACGTACAGTAGCGTCAAGCACAAGGAGCACACGACTCTGCAGAGAGGCACGCACACAGACGCAGACAGACAAACAGACGGCCGGACAAGCAGACAAACAGATTCAGTTAGATAGTTGGTTAAACAGCTAGATATTATACAGATAATAAATATATAATTTATTAGCTAGTTAGTTAGTTAGTTAGTTAGTTAGTGAGTTAGTTAGTTAATTAGACTACAACTACTGTTGCATTCGATCGCCGGCTGGGTTTACTCTCTCTGGGGTTGGGACGAGGTGTTTTGTTGGTGTTCTTGAAAGGAATACTGGAAATGCAACTTACCACAATCATAATACTTCGATATCCTGGGCAGAGCTGTTACCATTTGTTGTTGTTGTTCGTGGTTGGGTGGTTGTTGTGGTTGTAGTGGTGTTGTTGTTGTTGTTGTTGTTGTTGTTGTTGTTGTTGTTGTTGATTAACGTTTATGAACGATATATATATATATATATACAGTTATATATATACAAGCATATATATATAAATATACATATATAGTATACGACGTTTTACGAGTACATACGACAAAATTATAGGCACCCAAAAAATATAGAAAATCATTGGAAAAATTCATAAATTCGTTGGACGATATTGAAAATAAAATCTAAATTAAATACAATCATGTACAAAATGTTAAGGATAGTGCGAGTCATACACATACCCGCACACACACACACACACACACACACACGCATAATGATCAGCAGAAAAAACTAGATAGTATTCGAAGTAGAACATCAGGATATTGACAGAGCTTTTACGATCACAACAAAGTGGGCGGTGGGCGGTGGGCGGAGGCGTTAACAATTTCAAGATTGTGTCTAAACAAAATTGGCACTAGCAAATCATTTGCGTAAACACTCGTGTTGGCAGCTCGCTGATTAAGTGTGTCATGGGAGCAATACTCAATGTACTTATGTACATGCACGACATACACACCTATATGCACACATACATGCACACATGCATGCATACAGGTGCACATAAATAGATCGCCTGGCTATGTGATGCAATTGAACGTTATTTATAAACGTGCTAATTTTGTTCATGACAATTTGTCAATATGCGGCAATAATTTATAGCTCTTTTTACAGCTAATAAACGGGGCAATGCATGGATACTTTGTACAAATATCACTTGCTAAATTTACGATTTATTGTCAAACAATTAAATAAAACATTGTTCAAGCTAAACGAAGCTGTGATTTGAAATGAGAAAAACAACTGTCTCGAAAGTTTGATTTCTTAAATCAAAACATTTTGATGGCGAATACCTAATTATTGTCCAGAGATGTCAAATTGTAAAGAATTACCAATCGGACTGTAAAACAACAAGCACTTCACTTTTATTTCAATCAAATTTGCCAATCGAAAGGCAGTCCACATCGATATTCACAAAAGTCTATATTGAACAAATAATAGTTATTTATTTATTATTCGATATCATGAGTGCGAAACTCACGACTTAATCTTTGCTTGGAGGTGGGAATATAAAATATTTGAATTCAAATCAAGGCTGCAAACTGGTTTTGCACTAAACAAGTTTGTACCCGAAACTAAAATCTATTCTATTAACACGAAGCCCGAGCCTAAACCTAAACCATATTTGGCACACAACTGCTTTGATTAAGCACAATATTATGAATTGATTGAGTTAATAAACTTATTTCGATAAATAAGAATATGTAAATGCAGCAAATTAAATCAATAATGAAACAAACAAGTTATGAACCAAAGCTTCCAGGAAAATAAAAACGGGATGAAAGTACAACATAAACTAGATCTCATATTGCTTTAACTTTCGCTCTGATTCTCAAGTCTGGATTAGGCTAAGCATTTTCAGAATTCTCTAGATATTCATCAGATTCTAGCATTTTCAGCTCTTTACGGCCTTCAAGTGCATTTCCCTAACGGTTGTGCTGGTAACACCTGGAACTTGGAAGATACGTGCGCATACGATGAGTATTGATAGTCCGGCACAGAGTGTGAGCACGAGTGCGAGTGCGAGTGCGAGTGCGAGTGAGTTAAGGTGAACACGATGCACTGCGTCAGAAGTGGCAAATCGATGGCCATGCGAAAATAGAAAATATAAAACGGAAGCTCGTCAACAAAAACAAAAATGATAAATTGGCACAGTTGTTTGCATACTTTATGCCTCTAACAATGGCACGTGGCCCAAGTGTACACAGTCGGGGCGCAGATATCTGAGGAGGGGCTGGGGACGAGCTGGCGGATGCCCGTCGGCTGCACTTTGTGTGTAGGTTTATGGGCATGCCCAAAGTATTTACAGATAGGATCTAGCTGGTTATCAGCTATTGTCGTTTGGCTGTAGCGTAGGCTGGGGGCGTGGGGGGGGGGGGGGGGGGGGGGGGGGGGGGGGAATGGCAGCAGGCGGCGGTATATAATTTGTAAATTAAATAACAAATATTTTGCTACGATATGATTATTTTTATTATTATTATTATTATTCATTTAATTGTGATTTAAAATAAACAAAAACAAAAACAAAAACAAAAACAGAAACAGAAATCAATGCCATTTGCGCAAAATTAATGTTAATGATACGCAAATAGCCGCCGGGCAAAAGGTTCGCTTCGATCGGGTTGCCTTTTCGTTTGGGTTCGTGCACGTGCTTAGCATGCGCGCGCCGCTCAATTAGCCGAGACGCGAACCCAGGCTAAGCGCTGCCGCAATGTGATCAAATGTAAAACTTAATCAATTAAACAGGTTAATTCAAATCAATTTTTATGTCTGGCTTTAGTTATTATTATTATTATTATTTTTATTTTTATTTTTTTTTGTTTTGTTTTTTGGCTTGTTTACATTCACATTGATTCCGCATTTAATGTTCTACAAAAGTATGTTAGGTGTATGATACAGTTATATATATATATATATATATATATATATATAAATATATGTATATGTATATGTATACGTACATGTATGTACAACGACTAATATGCCAGCTTAGGCTACATATGTATATGCATATCACTTAGTGTATTACGTGTGTATATGTATGCGTGTATATATAGATATAGATATAGATATAGATATTAATTATAATTAATTTACGCTTTTATTTACTCTGCATAACTCTTCTTTCTTGTTTTTTCCAATTCAAATCGTATTAATATGCAAATCAATCATCGATTCAAAAACAAACTCATTAACAACAAAAAAAAAAAGAAACAAATGAAATAAAATAAAAAAAAAAAAGAACACAATGTGCAAAATCCAAAAAGAAATTAATAATAATAATAAAACAAATGTGATAATGATAGGCAAACGTATATATTTATAACTAAAATTGGCTATGTGCCCGCACAGTAAAAATTGTCCATTTTATGTGGAACGGAAGTCGAAACTTTTTAGAAATTGCTTATTTGATTGTATTGATTATTTTGTAATATTATTATACTTATTTATAGTATTGTGGTCTATGAACAAACTCAGCTTTGCTAAGGGAATCATCAATTGGTGATCAGTGATCACTTGACTATGGCCAGGCAGATGGCGCCGAACTTTGATCTTTAACTATATCAAAAAAAAAAAAAAAACAAAATAATAATAATAATTATAATAAGAAAACAACTGAGTGCCTTGTAAAGCAGTTGCGTAATGCTAAACATTTGATCTTGTGAATACAGTGTCGATCACTTGACGATCATGACTTAGTTGTCGGCTGTAAATCACGATCACATGCCGCGGGGAACACGGCGAATTGCATGGAGAGTTTTTTAGAGCTAACAATTTTCAAATATAATTGAGCCGAACGATCGCTTAATATGTGCCAATTGTGACGCACGATCAGTGACGATCAGTATGTATATAGCTGGAACTTGACTTGAAGAGCTGAATGGATATTGAATGGATACCTATTTAGCGCCTGTCGCAACTCTGAGCAAACATTTTGCAACGAGTGTAAACAAACTCAACGAATCTTACAACAGTGCCTGGCAACAGGTTAAATCGAATATTCATTAAACATACTTTGTGTTATTTCTGGATATTTATGCTTAGAGTTAGACGAGCATTCAAGTGCGAGTGCGTGCGATGAGTTGAGAACCGACGATGACGATGACGATGACGATGACGATGACGATGACGATGATAGATGGATAGATGAATAGATGAGTAGATGATAGATGAATAGATGATAGATGAGTAGATGAGTAGATGTTAGATAAACATATCAACGATGACTTGAATGTAGATGCAGATGCTGCTAAGGTCGCTGCGCTTTATTTCAAATGTTGCTTCTCGAGCTGTGCTGGCAGTTATCGTTGTTATCGTTGTTGTTGTTGGGTGTTGAACGTGTTGATCGTGTTGTTGTTGCCATTGTTGCTGCTGGTGTCGCTGACTGAAGCTGCCACAAAGGGCACGCATACGCATAACACATAGCTGGTGTGTAAGTGTGTGTGTGTGTGTAAGTGTGTGCAGTTGCTTTTATCAGGATTCAGTTACAGATTCTCTGAGTGCTGCCAGTGGCACCTGCACCTGCAGCGGCATTGCAGTAGTTATCAACGTTGGTGTCCGCCAAAGGTGCGACACCTGGCGGCGTCGACAGTGGCAGCGGCTGCGGCAGCGGCTGCTTAGTGTGTTTGTACGTGCGACCAAGTAAAGGAACATGCTCTTCTAAAATTAGATAGCGAATCGTAAAGAACGAACATAAACATCAACATTTGTACAGTTAATGGAAAGAAAACGAAACAAAAACCAAATGCAACAAATGAAAAATATCAAAAATTGAATTAAATTAAAATTAAAATCAATTAAAGCATAAACTTGTTTATGTTAGTTGTAATTCCACGTGGCATGCAACAAGCGCGCGCCCCAAACCCAGTGGCGCCCAGCGCAAGCGTGCAACAAAGCATTGATAGGCATAAGGCACGATTGGATAATGGTTAGGGTATCAAAGAGTCGCAGCTGTTACACAAAAACAAAGTTTCAGCAGAGAGAGAGAGAGAGAGAGAGAGAGAGAGCGGGTGGGAGCGGAAGGGCGCGCACGCGGGCCAGTTAGCGAGTCAGAGAGATTGAGTTAAAGAGTGGAAGTGGGAGCAAGAGGAGTATTCTACAAGTTTAGCTATGGACTCACCCTGCAGCTGGCGATTGATGAGCGCCGTCAGACCGTGGCCCACATCGACGCTCTTCTTCAGTATGAGCATGGGCTTGTCCTCAGCATCCTCCGCATAGCCGCCCGAGGGCAGGAAACCGTTGCTGGCTATCGATTCGCTCACCTATTATGGAGGACATCAATGTTTAGTCAAGCGAAAAGTTGCTGGTAAATTCAACGATTGTCACCTGTGTCACCTGCATCAGCTTTTTGACAACATCGCGGCCCAGTATGTGATCGAACACAGTTTGCAGGAATGGCTCGGCCATTATCGACAGCTTGAGCTTGTCCCGATGCCAGATGAGCACACGCGACTCCTCCATGGCCATAATGGACACCTGCGCGCACACGCACACACACGCACACACACACACAAGATAGAAGCTAAGTAAAAGCTGGCTCTGGGAAAGCGAATGCTCACCTGAAAATAGTCATCGGTCGAGACGCCAAACCACTCTGGCGAGTCTAGGAACTGATGGGGAAACACAATGTGCAGCGCCCGCTGATGCTGCGAGACGACCAATCTGGGAAAGAGATCGAATATCAATATCGATATCGATATCGGTTGTAATCGATTGGCATGGATCAGTTCTTGGTGATCTCGTCTCACTCACTTGCCGCTCAGCACCAGCGACAGGCTGTCCACTTTGGTGACCTTCTCCTGAGCATAGACCTCCTGGTATTTCAGCGCCCTGATGACCTTCATGCAATTGAGCACCTTTCTGAACTGATGCCGTGTCACGCACAGCGGCTGAAAAAGCGCCACGTACACCTGCCAAGAAGAGAGAGAGACAAAGAGAGAGAGAGAGAGAGAACAAGAAATAAATGCCATGTTGTAATTGAGGCTATAAAACGCCAACTGCTATTTATCCACATGGATAAACATTTGCCATGCAGTTCTGCTGGCCATCCCATCCATAAGGTTCTTAATTACTCGAGCCGCTCATGGAATTTGATCACGCGATCTGTTGGACCCGGTTGAAGTGCATTTCCTCTTCCAAGCCAATTCCATGCTTATCAGCACGTTGGGACATTGCCCGGCAAGTTGTTTAGCCCCGAGATAATAGTTACCCGTAGAAGGTGCCCATTCGGGCACATTGAAAGTCAAGTCCAAATTGCCTCAGCAATTCAATTAAAGTATAATAAAAATATTAAGAAACTGTATAAATTATTTACTTATCATGAACATATTTATGGTCAATGCCATGGACGCAGGATTAATAAGCGAACGTCTTCTAAAGCAAAAGCCAAACCTTTTCTTGATTGTTTTTTGGATTCGAAAACTAGAATACACGGCTTTGTGAAGTCTACCAAGTTACCAAAGGAATCGAAGGACATGAAGATCTTTATGATATGCTTTCTAAGGGCATAATTAAAAGGCAAGGCAATGCGAAACCCAACATGCCCAGTTGAATGGATCTAGTTCTGATAGTTCGCCAGACGAACTGACGGACAGACAAGTCTAGATCAACTCAACTATTCACTCTGAACGAGATCAAGGATGCTTTCTTCAATTCCTACAATTTCAATGGGTATTCAAATAAAACAATTGACTGGCCGTCCCTTCCTGCGATACCCTGCGATTTGCAATCTTCCAAATGAAATGCAATTCTTAATTGAAAACTAATTAACTTTACATTTACTTAAAGTTGCAATATTCCTGTTAAGATAACCTGAAAGCTGCCAGCATATATATGTTCCTTGCCCTTAGCTTAGGATCGTGAATCCTTGAGCCAGCTCTTAATGGAACTATCACAAGATTATTACCATGCCTGGCTTCAGGTCAGAACAGGTCATCTGCTTTCGAGAAAAGACGTTTAATATGTTGACAGGTTAGCCGATCGCTGATCACAAGGCTGCTGAACTTGTTTGTATTTGCTTTTTGCTTTTATTTCTGGGCAAATATTTGGGCAGGTGAGAGTGTGCGGGTGTGAACTGTTGCAGCATTTGCCCTGTTAATATCGTTCGACTCACGGCTCAGCTACGATCGGAGCAGTAAAATCATGTGTCTAACGTGCGCCGTCGGTGCCAAGACGGCGGGCGGTCTGAAATGGGCCAAAAGCATGTTCGCATGGCCAGCCACATGGCCAACATGGCCAATTGTCAGACGGCGTTCGGTTAGCGGATTTTCGGCTGTTTGTTGCTATGCAAAAAGTTTATTCAACGATTTTGCTGACGCAGACACCAGATATCCAATACGAGTCGGCCAGCATTAGCACCACCTCCATTGGCCACCAGGGGTGGCGGGTTGGCGGGGTGGCGGGGTGGGGCAGGCAACACGCCGCGACATGAAACTCCAGCAGTTTTGCCAATGCTCTGTCCAAAATTGGGCAACATCGCTTTAATGCCGTTCGCAAATAAAGTTTTGACAAGAATATGAAATTGAACTGTTGCCACCTTATTATGAAATGCTCATATGGCAACTCTGTGCATTATCTGTCAACACTAACGTACACTCTTATTCAAAATAATCGCTTTTCTTTTTTCACTGTTTAGTAACAATTTAAATTCAAGTTGACAACAAGTTAGCAGTGTGTAAGAAAATTTAACCTCTTGTCAGTTGTTAACGCTCGTTAACTGACATCAGCTTTGTCGTCAACAGAATTGAAGTGCAAATTATTTGAAGTGAAGTTTAAGAGAGAGCCAAAACATTTTCAAATGCCCAACAAATGTCCAATCTCTTGCATCCCTAACTGATTAATATAAAATTGAAGATAAGCCAAGTTAATCAGACAGTTCAAAGCAGTATATGAAAAAGCTCTTGAGTGAATTTAGCTGGATTAGTGTATTCACAAGTCAACGTTCCAAAATGCAGCTTTCGTTTCGTCTGTTGCTACTCTTGTTGCTTTTCCTCTTTTTTTGTATTCTCTCTTTTCGCAAGGCAGCATACACACATACACACATACACACATACACGCATACATACATACATACATACATATGTATATAAATAAATAAAATAATCAAGAGCTAAGCTCAAAGGCGGACAAATTGTAATCCGGGCAGGTTTATTTGCTGCCGCTGTTGTTGCCGCTGTCGACCGGCTTGGCTTGGCTGCCGCCGCATGTGGCGCGAGATTTGCAACAGCAGCGCCTGCAGCAACGGCGTCGGCGGACATCGCCGCTGATGCTAAAGTCACGTACGCCAGGCAGCAGACAGTGGGAGCCACGAGGGGCTGCCACGACTCGAGCCGCGACGTCGACGTCGACGTCGACGCTCTACAAGTGTAAAGAGTAGCAAAAGGCAAACAAGCAAAAGAGATCAAACGGAACGAAACGGAACAGTAAAACCAAAGCGCATCTGTTTCCCTCTCCCTTACACACACACTCTTACGCCTGCACATGTGTGTCCAATGAGATTAGTTTTGAGGCTCTGGCTGTGGCTGATGCTGATGGAGATAAGCTGCTGAGCGGCAGTTGCTGCGTGGGATTATCTACGCAATTGGCAGATAAGCAAAAACAAATCCGTTGCGCCGGTCAATTTGCAATTGAATTCAATGAAAGCAAAACATTGAAACAAAAAAAAAAAAAAAAAAAAAAAAAAAGCAAAAGACTAAAAGCGCGCTGGCCCCACACAGATTGACACAAAAACAAAAAGCGGCCATTTGGCAATTGCTGAAAAATGAACCAGTCGACACACCCGACTGACAGATACCCTATACATGTTGTTGCAATGCTGGCCAAGTGCATATATTATAGCTTTCTAATTCAGGTTTCTTTTTAATAATTATTTATATTTTTTTGCAAGTTGACACAAGCTCAAAAATCTCCATTACACGCTTTGCATTACACAATGTAAGGGGTATAGCAATGACAGAGATAGAGCATGATCAATGTCCAAATAGTGTCAACAGCTTATTGATTTTGCTTATTACATGCCGATCATCACTTGAGCACGCTCGTCTGCGATTATATTCGTTCTATTTTAGGATCTGGAAGCACATGCACATAACTTTTATACATATGCATGTATTAACATATGTGTGTGTGTGTGTGTGTGTGTGTGTATGTGAACAGCTTATTTGGATTGATCAACTGCCTTCGCCTGGCAGCGGCAATTTTATTTAGTTTAAATAATTGATTTCCCAACAAAAAACAAGAAACTATTTTTGTTTACCATAACGTCACGCTCTCCAGAGTTTTAGTTGCAGACAAAAGCAAAAAGTCGCATTTAGCATTTCTATTCGCATTTCATCTGAGCCGATCTAAAGTGATCGTGGCACAGTTTTTTTTTTTTTTTCTTTTTCTTTACAACACTAGCGAGCGCTTTAGAACTGACCTGCCTGAATTGTATACCCCCCACACCCACACTCGCAGACTCGCACACAGACACACGGACACACAATACATAGATATGCCCATATTGGTGTTCGTGGCATGGAAGCAACTACAGCAGCAGACCCAGCCAAGAGCCATTGAACCGAACCTGTTGCTGCTGTATTGATAAGCTGTTGGCAAGCAAAGAGAATCGTGCTTTGCTCTCTTTGCATTAAGAGCGAGTGTCGATAGCATTGCCAGCAACAGTCGACGCCGCAGCAGCAGCAGCTGCGCTGGCAGCGCAGTCGTAATTGAATATTGCCACGAGCTTTGCACACCGTACACCGTACACCGAACACCAATGAAAGACGCCATTGCCCAGCAACCGAATGGCAGCACTTCCTGTTGGTCTCTTGGCCTGTTAACTGCTTTGTATACCCTGTAATCATTTAGCTAGCCAACAAATAACGTTACACAAGAACAGCTTACACGTAAGCCATTTCCGGCTCCAAATAGTACAATAGATATTCTTGGCTACCTCGATCAATTTAGTCAAGTCAACCTTTTTCCCTCTCTCCCTCTCCCTCTCTCTCTCTCTCTCTTTCTCTCTCTCGATCTTTTAGAGAGTTTACATACCTACAAATCGATACATATCGATATATCAAACTTTCAAAATCGTAAAAAACTGAAAGCTGTCCATGCGATAATAATCGATATCCAAGCTCAATCCGATCTGGGAGAACTAAGTTTGATTTTTTGACAGCTCCCTTTGCTCCAGCCAAAATCAAAAGAGCTGTTGCTTTAATTTTTAGTATATTTGAGTAGAATTATTACCTTCATAAGGGCAACAGCATGAAGTGCTCTCACATAACATAGAAACCTTAGATTATTTATATACCCATTTCACATATTTAGCAGAGTATATTGGTTAAATCGCAGATTTAGAAACTTGCGCTTTATATTCGTACATAGCCGCAGCAAATTGTTTGGCCACGCCCATATACCACAGTATCTCCAATTTTGCAATTATATCATTGTTGACCTTTCCCCAAGTATAAAGAACAAGAACAGTGTCGCGGCCACGCCCACCCGGCCCTAACAAAATGACAAGCATCGATACTTCCAAAGGTCACAGTTTTAAAGTCACGCCAATCATCAATAAGACACTGCGACTGATTCAATTGGTAAAGACACTATGTATAGAGTATTGCGCAGTCGGTCATAGCCGACTAGCTTGTCTATATTTTTGTTGTTTTCCTTTCTTTCTTTTTTTGCATGTTGCTAGCTGTAAACAAAAATGTCGATCAATTTCGTAAACAAGGTGGCCATACAATCAGCTGTTTACAGGCTAAATCAAACGCTGATAAGAGCGAGCGAGAGGGGAGATGAGCGGCAGCAGAGATGGCGGCAGACGTGCATTGTTGAGCCCTCAAAGGCGGCTTATCGGCAAAGCAGCAGCAACAACAACAGCAACAACGAGAAGAAGAACAGTTGCATTATAATGCTGAGACGCGCA